AAATCTATGTAATTTACTATTTATATCATATGTATGTATACATATAATATATATACATACACATGAACGCATGCACATATATGAAACCAATTGATTAGTTGATCGCTTTATGTTAGCATTTGAGGGACAAAAAAAAACAAAAGTGATAGCTACCTGCACTTTCTGCTAATCCATCAGGATTAAAATCCAAAGCTTTTCTGTCGTCTGGTTTACAACCAGTCAAGAGGGTCACAACAGGTACCTCTCCGTCACCAGTAAAACCAACCTTCGCTTCCTGAGTCAAATAGTAACAACACTCTATTATCTGAAAAAATAACCATGCTTCCTTGTCTTTCGGTTTTGGTTCTGTTATTAACGGCGGCGCCAAACGTTCATGTGGTCTCTGCGCCCGTAAGAATCTTGAGCCACACCTCAGTTGCACTTCCAGCCATCGTGTCGCTTCTCTCGCCTGAGCGCTTACACGTTTCACCTCGTCCAGAGCAGAAACAACTATAAATACGATGTTATATAAATACAACTACAAATATAATTTTACGTAAATAATAGACAATAAAATAACTTCTGTATTCATTTTTTAATACAATTCTTTCATCTTACACTTTGAACACAGATTTACTTACCAACTGAGGGAATCACCACAACAAATATTTTTGCTTCCACTAAGCGTTTAAGAGCCGGCGTATGCTTGGATAAAGCTTTGTGGTCGGGAACAAGATATGGCGACATCAATCGAGATTGTACTTGACTCTCTAAAGCTCGAACCTCGGCATTTAACCACAATTTGCCCATGTGTTTCATAAGTTTCTGTTTCGAGTGTTCCGGTCCGGAATTTTTCTCATCTAAACCTATTACCTTTGGAGCGTTTGAGGAGTTTTCGTCCGTCACCGTGAACAATCGCTGAGTCTGATCGTATTGTACTTTTGAATTCTCAACAGAACAGAGATGGTGTCCGAATTCGATTAGTTTCAATATTCTCAGCAGTGTTTCTTCCCGCTTGTTCATTTTGTGTTTACGAAGTATTTGCCAATTGAGAGTTTTATGAGCATTTTCCAGTAAATTTAACCCCCGAAGATCAATGTCCTCTGGTAGAGGTATGATTTTCATGTACTCTTTCAATTTCTCTACACTGGATAGAATCGAGAAATCTTCGTTTCCCTGCACAAGAGTTTCAATATCCATATTGATTAGATTTAACAGGATCGTAACACGTTTCAATAATGTTCGCGAACTTTTGGCGCATATTCTCACAATGTCAGGGTTACTTCGAAGCCAATCGCAACATACTTTAATAGACACAAGAATCTCCTTGTCAATCAATATATTCAAAATGTCATCCGATTTTAAGCTTTGCTTTTTCAATTGTGCTATATAAAAGATGTCCGTATTGCATAAACGATCACTACTTTCCTCGAAGGTACTAGACGAGTCAGTATTCGTAATAGTTACAGCACTGTTGCTCACAGAATTTATTACAGAATCTTTATCACTCAGTGCTTTCGAACCCGTTTGCTGATTGATTGCGTGCTGTTGTCCGTTAACTAAATGGTTTATACCGTTCTTATCACAATCCTTCGTTTTGTCGATAATATCGCTGCCATGGCCATTCATCTCTTTTTTCGCTGGCTGCGCTATATTTTCGATAGTCTGAATCTTATTTTCTGGAGATGGTTCTTCGTCATCTGTATTATCGTCCGACAATGCATCGTTTCCCTCACTCAACACGTCGTCTTCCGTTTCAGATACATCAGAGTTGATTTCGTCACTAGACGACGCTAATGTTGACTGATCTACGTCGCTCGCATCTGAATCAGAGCTAATTCTTCTTTTTCGCCTACGAAGTTTGCTGAGAAGACTTTTCGATTTGTTGCGAGTTTTTTTGGGACCTAATTTGTTTCTGAATCCGTTATCTGACTTAATTTTGTTAGTCTCATCTGAATTGAGTACATTATTGTCTTTGCTAAAAATAGAGTCTTTTTCTTTCACGTGATTTCTGTTATCTCCTGATTCAGATAATGCTTGATTTTCCTGTGCATTTTTTAACTTGGAACAAGTATTTCCCTTTATAATTGCTTCTACATTAGGCACAGCCATTTCTATAATCATTTCTTGTAATTTTCTTATTATAAACTCTAACAATTGTGACAGTATCGCTAAAGTTATAGCAACGACACCCTGTACTTCGTTGGATTCTTTATTTTTTAATCTAGAAATTGACATTAAGCATATTGTCACGATCTTAAACATCATATTATCTGTTAAATAAAGCGTTGGTCTGTTTTTACAATTTTGAAGATATGTTTCTATATTATCCATATTTTCAAGAGAATTTGTATTATTTGGCTCAATGTGATCCATTGTTAAACACTTCTCTATATCAGTTAAGAGATCCTGTTGAAAAAAAATTAACCATCATCATAAATTGTGATAATATTGTCATATAAAATTCAAATACCTAATAAATATTTTAACGTTAATTAAATACCTGGCATTCTTGATTTATTTTATCAGAATTTGGATTTTCATAATCCCATAAGCGTAACAAAGAAAATAATCGCGATACACAATGATGGACAGAATTGCTTTCATCTGTATAGGTCGACTGAGTTATTACAATTTTCTTTAAATTTCCTTCTGCTCCTTCAAATGGCTCAGGACACAAAACGCTGCAAAATAATTACAATTAATAATCAGTGTTGGTTAAAAAATATTTATATGTTAATAAAAAGAAAATACAATTACTAGGATACAATTTATTATTGGAAAATGTATTAACATTATTATTACATTATTAAAATTAAATTATATATGAACACCAACCTTCTCATATAATGATAAACTGCATCTAATCCATAATTTTTATTGCCTGCTATAGTACCAAGTTGATTGTGAGGCATACCAATGTTTGGATCAATGGCTATAGCCATCTTATAATATCTGTTTGCTATCATTGGATCCCAATTTGAATTTAATTCTAATTTGTACCTACTCAAGTCTCCAAGGCATACTAAGCTTCGATGGATCAAGCGCATGACACACTGTTTGAGCTCCTTGGTATGAGTTTTAGTTTGCCCTGTCTTAATTCTTGCCTATCACAAATTTAGAATTGTTTTACATTACATATATATTGTCTTACATAACTGTCATAATTTGTATATAATATCACAATTAAAAATCATAATAATTAATATACTTTTAACATAAAACTTTAGTTTCCTAACCCGAATAAATTAAATGAAATATTAAAAAATTTTCTTACATATGATGAAATACTTTCGTTTTGAATGAAAGCAAAATCAACAACGCCAACAAGATCTAGATCATATTCAGTTTGCAGTCTCATTATCAGATGATGATAATATCCCACACCTACTGCCAAATGGATCGAAAGCAGCGTTTTTTCCGTATCATTCCAGATGTTATCCTAAAATATTGATAATAATTTCTTATTATTATTCTATATT